TCCACTCTGCAGCCGGCTTAGCCTGTTGTACGACGCGTGCGTACATCTTCGTTTCGCCTTCGACCATGACTCCACACTGTTTCCGTTCTCCGCAACAATCATGCTAACTTACACGCTCAATATTCTCGGAGAGTAAGCAACCGTGGAGAATCCAGTGTGCGTATATTGCATTACACAGAAAATTCGACTTTACGCCTTAGTTTCTCAATGCCTTTCTGAGGTAAAAGAAAAACAGATCAAGTAAGTTGTCTTTGGTGTGTCATACGGATGCCCACCGAGTGCCCGCAATATGAATGAGAACCCTCTTTTCAGCTTCTGCGATGACAAACCGTTCACAGATTTCAGGGGGCCCAAAAATATAAGTACCGATGCTCAGCAGAGAAACCTTGACATAGTGCTCATAATCTATGTAGAGAAACGATTTCACGGGCGAAATCCGAGTAGGGCTGTAAGCAGATGTCACTGAACCTAGCTTTAGTCGTAAGGGTGTAAATGACACCAGACGTTCACTAACCCAGCCCCCTTTTGCACTGCAGTGACTTATGTTTAAGAGATAATTTGCAGAATGTATGGAACGAGCAAAGTCAAAAAGCAAGCCTGAGGAAAAAGGAGAGGTTTTACTGGACGAAGGGAGATGGAGCAAAGACAATATGGTTCAGCATCGCTTTACTCGTAGCCCGCCACAGCCTCGGCAATCTGCCAGTTGGTCTCTAGTTTCTGGTTTTCGGACACCTCTACGCCATCCCTGGTCACGTGGGCAACCTTGTAGACACCGTACGCTCTAAAGGGAAAAACCAGCCGAGATGTAGACAAACGCGGTAAACATTTTTAAATATAACCGACAGGTGAAATCATTAGGAACTTTGATAGTTGTGGGTTCTGTGATCAAGAAAACGTAACTAGCTTAGGTTGCAGCATAATTTTCACAACCAATCATCCTGCCCACGGACCTGCAGCTGTTTGACTAACTCGGCTTAAAACCTGGATTGTTAGACGTGAATAGAGGCACTCTTTGTAATTGCAGACACTGGGTGAAACTGTAAAGCAACAAACTGCACGAAACCACGAAATAAGGTGATAATAATGATCGCAAGCTCTTCATACAATCTACTAAGGTTGGTAGCCAACTGAGAAACCGTCTTCGTAGAGCTTGCTTTAAGAACACTAAATAGGCTCGCGAGTCTGGTGTACTCTCGTTCCCAGGGTGCTATCTTTTAAAGAGCAACGTAAAGAGTCCAACAGCATTGGTTGGAAAGGCTCGTCTGTACATCTGGACGATTGTTAGGCAATGTATTCTAGGCAGTGTCCATATTGCCCTTTTGATCGTATTACATTAACGACTCAGGAACATAAGATCAACGTGGTCGAATAAAAGGGTGCTTTCTTTCCGTTTTCAGCGCACTCGGAAACATAGAACTTCTTAAGGGTTCCGTAAAAGCACCCAATTAAAACCATTTTCTAGGGAATTAATCTAAATAGGCAGCAATGTCCTGTGCGGAGAAGGGAGAACCCACCAATCTGGCGATCGGAGTTTCGTTAGTTCCCTTACATTTCGTGAAAACCAACAAATTCTTGACTAGCTTTCAGTTATAAACAAGATCTCGTAGACGTTGTTGAACAGTGCGACCCAGTAGAGTTCGCTCGCGATATGCAACGGAGACTAGCAGTGCTGAAGAGGACGCAGTAGCTGGAACAAGGGATTGATGGTTCCGACAATTCCGGTTTCCACTCGGACCCAGCTCTTCAGATAAGAGGTAATGGTGGCACAAGGAGTGCAGTATTTATAGGACGCAGTTACCATGCAACCAGATGCGTACTATAATTAGCGGTCTTCAAGAAGGGTCGAACTTAATGCCGCCGCTTGGATACGGACTGACAAGCACTCATCGCATCAAGCACGGCCTCAACGACGAACACGGGT